CAAGAATAACATTAAAATCTCCTCCAATGCACCATGGCCCATCAATAAACATATGAATATCCTCTAAACTACTCCAAAGATATTTTCTTTTATTTGCATTTAGCATAGACATCTGTGATGAACATATTGGTAGTACTCACCCCATTCTGCATTTTGATGGTGTTTTGTTGGTCATCTGCACTAATCACGCTTGTTTGATAATTACCTGACCACATGAGCCAGATTTGCCCATTGGTGTTGGAGATGCAGTGTCGAAACTTGAGATACCCCATGTATTTATCAATCTTGTTCGTGCTGGCAAACGGTTCCATAATAGCTATGAAATCTACTTTGTTGATGTTGACAAGCTTTTTAAGCCTAGGCATGGCTTTCTTGGTATTCACTCCTCTAATATTCCAGAAATTTGCACTAATCATGGAAATATGGGAGGAGGATTAGTTTGATCTACCCCCCTAAGGAGGTGAATTGGTATTGTATTTTTTCTTCTTTTTTTTCTTTTTGTTTTGGTTTCTGTGTTTGGTGACAGGTGAGAAACCATCCCCTTCCTCTTTGTCATGCACAGTATGTAATTGATCTTCTGAAATCACAACAGTGGCTCTGTTGGGGGAAGTTACTTCAAATTGTTGTTGAGTTTCTCTCCTCATTAAGGCTGCTTCTGTGTGGGCTTCCTGTTCTTCAGGGATCAAATCGACTGCCAGGCAAATTCCTGGTAGATTCTTGATGTCTGAAGGGACACTAGTGGATTCATTGATATACCTCTGCCGGTCAGGAGCCTTGTCTGATTTTATGGCTTCAATATTGCTTGATTCTTGCACTGCTTATTCATTCTCATTTTGACTTTCATTCTTGGTCACATTAGTGCTTCCTTCATCTCCATTTTGTATCTTATCCTCACTTTTGTTAGTGTCCATCTGAGTATTTATTTGCAACTTGTTTTCTTGTTGGTCATTCATAGTAGTCTCTATAACTCCCTTATTTTTGAAGTTACCAGATATCTTGACATGTTTAAATGTCACCTTGGGCTTCTTTTTTGGAACTCTCTTATGTCTTCTAACTTTGATTTTTTTGGTCGTTCTTCCCTTGATGCTTTGCATCCTTTCCTGACTTTCCACTCTGTTCTCATCAGTTGGTTGTTCTTCCTTGCTGATTTTGTTTTTGCTCTCTTTTTTGTTGTTCTACTCTATACCGTGTCCCTGTTTCCTTTGAGAATGCAATTCCAAATTTATTCTGCTGACTTCCCCTGTTTCTGCTTCTTTGTTATCTGTTTTTTTTCGCATTTTCTTTAGTTTCAATATTCCCTCCCCTGTCCTGTTTTGCTTCCTGTTCTTTCTTTTCCAGTTCCCTTTTTCTTTCCAAAACTCTACATTATCATATTATGCCCAAGCTTTCTACAATGTTTACAATATTTTAGAACCCCTCATATTCAAGTTTTTGAACAAAACTTTTTTGAGGGGCATCATCATAGACTTGACCAACATAGACCGAATCTGGTTGTTGTTTTAGAAGGTCAATTTCAATTCTTACCTTAGCCATGCTAGGTCTGGTCTTTTCTCTCGTTGCCAGGTCCATTTTCAGTGGAGTCCCAACAGTGTTGACTACCTGTTTAACGTATTGTCATGTGTGCATATGAAAGGGGAGTCCTGGTAGAAGTACCCATATTAGTGCCACTGGAAGATCTTCTCCAGGCTTGAAGTCCGGCGACCACCTTTGTAGCCACATTTGTTATCCCTCAATTTCAATAACCCTCTTGTACCAGACAAAATTGAAATCATCTTCGTTGGTGAAATTCAAGAATATATTGTAGTTATCATAAACCCCAATTTTGACCGAGCCTTTGATAAAAATTAATTCTTTAAAATTTGACCTAATTCGGTCAATTTGGGGCCTAGGTTTGAGGAATCTTCCAACAATTATGAGCCTACACTCATCTTCCATGATGCCGTAATAATTCGACGCCTTGAAAAGGACCGTCGGCATTCCATTGTGAGTGGTATGTGTTTCAATGACAGATTCTCTTGCATGTTGATTTGGGGGTTCTGGGAATTGTTTGGAAGAGGAAATTTTGTTTGCATAAGACATTTTTCTATCAGATGGTTCAGGGTTCTATTTTATTGGGAGGTTGAGGTTGGACTGGCCCTCCAGACGCGTCGGCGGGGCACCGTCCGGTGGATCCATGAAGAAGGAGCGTGAAGGCACTCGCTTATGAAGTAGCCGTTAGCTAGCCGTTTCTAGAGAGAGAAGAGAGAGTTTCTTGTCAATCCTATTAGGTATGCTCCAATAAGTTTGATAGTCTATAAATATTGGTAACTCAAATAAATCCTAAACCAAAATCAAATCAATATTAATGCTAACAAAAGACAATAGTGTTGGATATCTCTTTTTTTAGTTTTTTCATGGTTTAAATAAAATGCACAACTTATTTTTTCAGTATTTAGTCATGTAAATAATAGTAGTACTTATTAGTCGTACTTATTTTAGCAACTTAGTAATTTTAGATCATGTTTGTTTTTATTATGGCTTATTAAAATATTTATTTTATGCGATTTTATTATTTTTATTGTTGAATATTTTAGTACAATGTTATGGCGTATCTTATATTTTATGTTACTTTCTTGAAAAGCACCTTATATAGTTATGTCTTACTAGGATTAAAGAAATATTTAGAGCGCAAATTCTATGTTTTGTGCTATGAAAACTTTATGGAAAAAAAACCCAGAAAAAACCCGAAAATCCAAAAAATTCAAGAAAAACTGAGATTACAAAATCCGACTTTTATTGGTTTGGTTTGGTCTTTAAATTTAATAACCCGACATAATTGGTTTGGTTTGATAATTGAAAACTCGAACCACCCCGACCTATGTACACCCCTAGTATACCGTTGATGTTGATCCTGATTCACTGCTTCATGGATTAAACCTTAAAGGCAGATCTAAGATATAAACTTGATGTCATCGACTTTTAAGATTCTTAAAAGTGAACTCATTAATTATTCTTTTATAATATCGTAAGTTATTATCCAATATTTGCTGAAACTTTAGTGGGCCTTCACATAAATTTATATATATTTCGAGTCGACAATGCTAGGTTTAAATGAATCAAAAAGTTGCATATGCACTTGCTAAAAGATTGTATTATGATGGATAGTAATGAATACCTAGAAGACGAGATGATGAAATACCTTATAATCCTCCTCTTGTTCTTCTCCAACGTAATCGAATAAGGGAAGATGATTATTGATATTTGATACCCTAAAATTTTCCTCAAAGTTTACTTTAAATTCTTAATTTAATTTGATGAAAATCTGATGATGTCCTAATTTGGGTTGCCCAGGTGTTATACGATGGATTTCAGGATGTATAAACCGTTCAATGGACAAACAATAAGAAAACTTATCATATTTTAGATTAATAACAGTGCGTGATAAAAAAATTCAGCTTGAATCATCATTAACAAGTTAAGTCATGAGGTTATAGATTAAGGAGAAAATTGCATCTTTTACGTCTCAAAGAGGATATTGGCAGATCGCACACCCTGTAACCTTTTTCTGAAATTTTATTATCTCGTTTGAAGGGCGAGCAACCGGGGTTGTTTGGTGGGGAACAAGTTATCATCGGGTTACCATGACGTGATTATAATACGAGGATTAAATAGCAACACGATTATTTAGTAGTGGATATACTTTTATTGAGAGATATTGGCTCCTTGGACTAGAAATGAAATATATTGTGTATAATATAAAATATATGTTTGGTATATTCGAGATAAGTTAGGATAAACTTTTATTTTTAATTTTAACCTAGTACTTTTTAAAGGACTTTAGAGGAAGAGCCTTGGAAAAGGGCATCTTTGTTATTGTAGTGTTTTATCTCGGGATAAAGTAATCCAAGGATTATTATCCCAGCCTCAAAATGAGATAAAATAATACCATAATTATGGCATAAATTATTCGAATTCAACCAAATGAGAAATAAAATAATTCTGCATTTAATCCCAAATTATTCCTTATCCCACCGGTCAAACGACCCCGTAGAGTTATTGGCAAAGGACTATGTTATCTTTAACAACAGCATTTTTCGCCTTCTCCTCTTCCTTTTTTCCTTTTTGAGTAATTTTGTTTTTCAGAATAATTGAGTGATTATAATTTGTTACTTCTCCACTATGGCAACCCAATTTTTCTTTTCTTTTTTTTACCTAGAAGAAATAAAACACCATTTTCCATATAATTTTCTTTTTCTGCCACTTTCTTTTCTTTGTCTAATCAATTATCACAAGTTTCTCAATTCTCTTATTAATTTTGAACAAGTTCCTCATGTATTTAGGTTCAAATAAGATTATTTATTCGAAAACACTCATGTTGTCGTTGTTATTTCTTTATAGTGCATTAATTATTTATCAAATTTAGATTAACACAGTACTAATTTTGCCGAAAAACTGCTTAATGGTTCTTTCACACATGTTACACACACACACACACCTATATAATATATATCCAAATACGAGTTAAAACAAAAAATCACATACTTTATAAATTTAAATTAGCATCAAATATCTCCTAAACCATTTATAGGCTCATAAAAATTAAACAGTGAATACATATTCTCACATTGCTTTAATTTAAGTTTTACACAGTATCTTTTGCCATTTTGACTAGTCTATAACTCAGTCACAAGAGTGAGTTGCTCTAGTGGTGAGCACCCTCCACTTTCAACCAAGAGATTGTGAGTTCGAGTCACCCCAAGAGCAAGGTGGGGAATTCTTGGAGAGAGGGACGAGGGTTTATCAGAAACAACCTCCCTACCCTAGGGTAGGTGTAAGATCTGCGTACAAATTAACCTCCCCAGACCCCACTAGTGGGATTATACTGGGTTGTTGTTGTTGTATTAGTCTAATTCTATATAGTATAATAAAACTATTTGTGGAATGAGAGCTGGGAATTGTACTTATCGAACTAAACAACAATCAATTTATGGAGAAAAAGTGTAGTTGTCATAATCAAAATCTCGTCCTGCCCTTAAGTATGCAATAAGAAGTAATCAAAATGACAGATTTTGGCATTCGCTGTATGTTTCCTGATCTGAAGTACACGTACTTTTCTTAATAATATTTCTCTAATCAAACACTTGGATTTTTGTTACTGGCTTAGGTTCAACAAAAATAAGGGTTACAACTCAGGATGAACCAACTCAAGGAAAGGTTTCACATAACTAAAAACTGAAGCTGAAAGAAGATGATCAACCAACACTTGGGAGTTGGGACAGAGCCATCACCTTTTATGTACACCGTTGTTCCAGTAATTGAGAGTTGCTTACATACATGAAAAGCTGCTTGTTGCCCTCAAGCTCTTACCAGAAATATGAAAAACATACTCTCTGCTTGTTTTGTTGAAACAAGCAGCTGTAACTTGTGATACTTTCCTGGGCAGTATGTTGTATCGACTTACAGCATAGTGTGAAGATACCTGAACCAAAGCCAAAAATTTAAACTCAAACACTAGGCTCGAAAAGCTTGACATATGTGTCGCCCACGAGATTATCTTGTGCTTGAACATATGCAAGCATGCAGATTTACGAGTATATTCACCAAGTCAGAATGAAAAAAGCCAGCTCTTGTTTCCAGTTCTCTTTGTTTTACTAGCCCCTTTTTTCTTATGTGGAGGCAGGGATTGGCCGGAGTTACTGAAGACAGATTTAGCAAACAAAGTTTCTTAAGCGAAAGAAGTTACATACCCGTAGATAGGAACCAAGACTAGTTCTCAAACAGATGCAACGGAGAGAAACTTCAGACTACAGCAGAAAGCATCGGTATTCTTAATACACTAAGTTTGATGCATAAATTCTCTCAACACAAGCTCCACTTCTCCAACTACCCCAAGTTTCTTGAACCAACGAGCCAATATTTCGGAAGCTTCTCTACCAAGCACAACACCATCCCTCTCCAAATTCATCAAAACATCAAGTGCCTTGCTCAGGTTGTTTTCGGTTTCATAAGCTGACAACAGCAGTGCGATACACTTGTCATTAGGTTCTATGCCAGCTCTTCTCAAATTTTCAAACGCAATACAAGCCTCGCTCAGTTGACCAGCCACAACATAGGCATTCATAAGCAGCCCACAGACGGTCGCATCAGGGATTATTCCTGCTAACTGAAGAGTATCAAAGACCCTTTGAGCTCCTTTGCTATCACCAATCATCGAATAGGCTCTCAGAATTGCTTTATAAACTTCTCTTCCAGCATAGATCTCTTGTTCTTCCATTTCCCTCAGTAAAGCCTCTCCCTCGCCAAGCATTCCAGCTCTGACGTAGGCCATGATCATTGACCCATAGGATCTCTTATCTAATGCTACTCCAAGCAACCTCATCTCTTCAAAAGTATCTTCAGCCATCTTAAGGTTACCAGCCTTGCTATACATGTGAACTAAAGCCGTGAGAACCACCTGATCACATGTGAAGCCTCTAGTCTTCATGGCTAAGAGCATACTTTCAGCTTCTCTCAGCCGATTCTGCTTTGCATAGCCATGAATTAACTTGGTGTAATCACGAACATTGGCTTCAAATGATTCTTCTAAGAGGGACACTTCAGCTACCTGAGATACAGAAAGTGCACCGAAGGAACTAATAAGTTGACTGAATTACTCGTTCTTCATCACAAAAAAAGTCATAAGTTTGGCGAACAGATTAGTAAGCACATAGTTCACTGAAATCAAGAAAATTAACAATAACTATGGCCCTGTTTCTGATTCCTATCTTTCTTTGCAACTGGGATCAAGAGAAGAATGTGTCTTCACTTGTTCTTAACCAAATTGTGATTCTATAACTGATCGATAGTGAGGCTCTATGGAAAATTCCAACAATTTTGGGGGCTAGAGTGGTCAGAAATTAACACACTTGAAAGGTTTGATGGATAACTCTTTATTGATAAATGACACAATGGAATAGAAGAATCAAATGCTCTTTAGGAGAATACTAGAACTAGAAAACAATCCACAGATTAAATATTAGTCACCTTATGGATTTGGAAGATTGGAATTGCGACTCTCTGAAAAAGAAAAAGAGAAAGGCTTGAGCTTTTCATACCCATGAATTTTTTAGGTATAAGAGCCCGTTCGAATTTTTTGCTTAAAAGCACTTTTTAAGTGCTGCGACTAGTTTTAAAAATAAGCAATTACGCGTTTGGATAGAAGTGTTGAAACTGAAAACAAGTTGTTGATGTATTTGGAAAAGAAATGTTGACGCATGCTTTTTATTTGTTAGAATGACTTAAATATCCTTAAAGTTGTTAACATTGAAAAGAAGTTGCTTATCACAAAATATTTGATTCTAAATTAATACACAAACAAATGAAGTTATGTTTCAATTCACTTTAAATTTTAAATTAATTAAAAAATTGTATTTAATAAATATAAATTAATTACTGAAGTAACATATTTACTGATATGCTATTTTTCCTTCTTCATTGCTCGTAACTATTCATCTAATTAATTTGATTTTGTTCTTCTCTTTCTTCATTGTTCCTAATTGTTCCTTTTTTTTCATGGTTTTCGTAGCGTATTTACAAAGAAATAACTTGGTTAAGTAGTTGAAAGAAAAAGAAAAAAAAAAAAGATGAAAAGAAATGAAACTATTAAAACATCAAGAAATAAAACGGAAAAGCTCTCATTCAGGAGAAGCTTGATGAAAAAGTGGAGGAGAAGTAGGAGAAGAAAAGATATGTTGCAATGGAATGAGAGCATTTTGATGATTCTGAAAAAAGACAAGGGATAATAGGTAAAATTATTGGTCAAACGTAGATAGCTTAAAAGCCAAAAAGCCATAAGTTGGGTTGCCCAGCTTATGACTTTTGGCTTGTTTTAAGCACATTTTAACTTGTTTTAAGCACTTTTTGTTTTTGCACTAAAAAGAGCTTAAATTTTAGTTTGACCAGCTTAAAAGCCAATCCAAACACCCTCTAAATCAAACATTGGCTTCAAATAACCCAACCGAATGGGAAGGCATACCATAAACTAGCAATCCCTTAGGCACATACCAGGGTATAGATTAATATATACTACCATTTAAGAAAAGTTATGTTAAAATAATTCTATATTCATGGACTATTAATGAATTAGAAGATCTCCATGGTATTCTAATGATTCTATAGTTTTCTGATTGAAAGGGATTCCAAATAATAACACGGCAAGTATCTGGCAAGATGCATTTACACATACTTCAAAGTGCAGTTTTCCTCCTTATAGCTTCTAAATAAGCTAAGGTCATAGATTGCTGGTCTGTGCCCTCGCCCTCACAATAAAACCTCCACCCTCTCCCCAGGTTTAAATTAAGGAAGTTGTTTGTGTATATGCTGTCATGGAGCTCTTAGGATTACTAACGAAGTCGGAATTCTGCACATCCAACTGTAAAAGAAACCAGCAACTTGCAGTAACAAATTGACACTACAACGAAAAGGAAACAAGGCAACTCAAATAACCAGTAACTGAGGCTTTCGACAGCAGTAATAAATTAATCATTTAATCTAGTAAGACTTATATGCATGTACAGGGATAAATATGAAGTTTTTTAGTAATTTTTTGGATAGGTGGATAAGTATGAAATTTTAAGAACCCTAGTTTTAGATAATCTCTAATGTGCCTTGAAAGACAAATAATTTAGTATATGAATGATATAGACATGAATAGAGCGGAATGGATACAAATTATTCATGTAGCCAACCACAACAAATTTGAGATTGAGGCATAGTTGATTGAAATTGCCGGAGGGCTAGTTAGCTGTAACTAGGATCTTTGACATGTGCCAGTTGCCCTCATCTCCTAGGGAGAGGGGAGCAAGCTTTTACGAGAACAACTAAGTCACTGCATCAAGTGTTTTACCACAAACCGGTAAGGTTATGCCAGAGTAAAAAGTACTAGCACCGTAGCACATCCATATGACAGTTATAGAAAGATGCCCTGCCATCTCACAATAATGTTAATGGCAACTGGAGAAAGAAATAGGGTGGTGATGAAAGACAATTATTCTCCGGCACAAAAAAAAAACATGACCTATCGCAGAGATTAAGAGTAAAAAAGATTTAATAGATTTTGTATACTGATTTAGACAAATTGTTTGAAAAATTAGCTTGAATTTGTTAAAAGTAATTAGTTAGTTTGTAAAAAGCTGCATCAGCTCAAAATAATAGTACATATTAGCGTGAACTGTAAAGTAAGGAGTGGAAATCGTCAAGCGTTTCTGGTAGACAGGGAACAAAGTCAATTGAGTTTTGTGAGAACAGAGAAGAGCAGTTTTTGGTTTTAATTCTAAAAAGCAATGAGGCAACCTTCTACACAGAAAAAGACAGAAGTCGGACATACACCTCATAACTTCAGGGAAGATATCTAAGCCATTGCCTCTCTGTTTAAAGATCAATTGAAGAAAACAACCTCTCAACATAGCAACCATTATAGAAAAGACCACAGATGCCGTAGAAGACATATAGTTATTTAAGTCTTAGTAGGTAATTGTGCATCTCCTAATTTCAATTATCTAACGGATAGGTGAATAAAATCTCTAATCTACTATCCAGTGGATGATGATTGACAAAGATAACAAATTCATCCAATTTGGATCTAGCTTCCTGATTCCTGTTTAAATAACATTAAAACTAGTGCGAGGGTACCAGCTATTTCAAGGAGAATGTCTACAAATCAAAAGCTTATGAAGAGGAAACACACACTATTTGACAAGAAATGGAGTCAAATTCTTGTAGGACAAAAGTTTAGCCAATGCAAAGTGATCCCAATACTACTTCAAGCCATTAATACAAACCTTTAGTGCTGAAATAGTGAGCCCTCCAACTAAACTCCACAAGGAAAGAACAGGACAGACAAATAATGGGAATAGATTGAAGTCTTCAACACAAAAAAAGGATCTTTAACTTCAATATTTAATGGCAGCAGAAAGATCAGACAAATCAGTGTCAGAGGTTAAGGTATGGAAGACATGGAATAAAAGAAAGAATGCATATGATTTGGCAGAGTAGTTCCAAAACCACCTACGAAATTTGTGGGAACGAAAAACATCATGAAGTTAGTAACAGGAGGCAATATCAACAGTTGTTGAACACAAATTTTTGGAGATGGTTCCAAATAACCACCCTTAAAGTGATATGAACATGGACTAGAAGTATAAACCAACCAATTACAAGTAGAAAAAAGTTCCAACCATTTCTGTCTACATCCTTCAAGTTTGATGAAGGAAATGTGACACTCAAGCACAATCCTGACCACATTTTGAGTTTAAAAACGTGGCCAAAATAATGGTTGTAATTAACAATCTTCCACAATAGATAGAAGATTGAGTAAATAGAATACTAATACAGCAAACTTTAAGTGACAAACTCAATGAATATGAACATAAGTCAGCAGCAAGCAAGACTTTGGTGAAATCAAGAACTATGTTGTAGAGGAAGAAACTGAAATTACCTCAAAATACAAGGGATGATTCAGCCTGTCCAATTCTTTGAGTGCCTCAAGCCAATCAGCTCTCTCGGGCTTCATACTCTTCACCCAAGCCTCTAACAAGAGTGACACACTACCCTTTTCAGCTGAATAGCAAATGATCTGTTGCATTAATGCCTTACATCTATTTGCCATCTTTGGTGGGAGCTTCAAAATAGCCTGTTTCTGTACCTCAGTAATATCAGAGCCTATCTTAACCCACTTATACCTGGGTTTATCATTAGCTTGGTTTTCAGCACTACCCTTCTCAGCTGCTACATTACTCACAGCTAATAATGGCTTAAAACCCAATTCACCGTACCCAAAAATGGTAACTTTTTGCAAGGGAAAAACACAATTTAAAGGGTAGTGATGGATTCTTCGAATAGTATTGCTTAATGGAGATGTTTGAATGGAACAAGAAAAGACACCATATGCCGTAAAACCCATGTCAAATTCAGATATTAATTAATACCAGAATACTGCAAGATTAATGGGTTTCTCCCACAGAATTTTGTGGGCTCTTTTCAATCTGCCATCATCACTGCGAGCAGCCAACAACAATTCGGTCAAGCCGAAGCGTTTCTTGGAAAACTGGAGAGGCTAACTGGCTAAGTGGATAATAAACGGGTTAATACTTAATATTTAATCTTATTTTGCCGGGTATTGTGGGGCTCCTAAGCAGCTGTTTTAAAACATAGCCAATATCTGTAAAATATTAAAAACTTAAAAAGCCAAAGATACCCTCCTCTTCTTCTTCTGTGCTTCTTTCTAAAGTGCGAATCAAACTTTAAAAAATTGTATCCTGAACGCATTTGCTTGTGCTTTACAAATGCAGGTCTTTTCTCTATTATATAAAGATTAAAACACAATTGATCAGTAGACCTTCCCTTATGCATTCTTTTGTCGATTAATAAGCTTTCTTTTTCTTTTTCTTCTCCTTTTTTTAAAATAAATAAATTGTTATCCATAAAAGTAGAAAGTCAAAACAATCCTTTTTTGGAGAGAATATATTTGGCACAAAAAAATATTTTTTGGCGCTATATTCTGGTAAAATTTTGGTTGCACAAATTACAGTAATTTATTTTTAAGTAAATTCTTGGATTAGTGGCTTTGGAATCTTGAGAAAAAAACCAAACTCATTTCAACACCAGACAAACTTTTCAAGGTGAGTTACTTTCTTCTATTGAAGTAACACGCCATGTCAATAGATTTTTGCTTGTGTGCAAATTTCAATTTTTGAACTGGGGCTTTCGAAAATGGCCTCTTTATTTTCACAGGGTAGGGATAAAGACAGCGTATATACTACTATTCTCATACGTGAAAATATACCGAATATATTTTTGTTGTACAAATTTTATATATGTATATATATATATATATATATACACAACATTATTTGCCATGTTTCATATTTCAAAAGGACAAAGTACATATACTAAAATACTACAATATGATTCATCGTCTTATCATCGAGAAACCATGGGTACTGCTCAACAGCAGTGGGTATTCGAATCTTCTTCAAAATCAACTTCTTGATCAATACGAGGGATTATCACATCTATCTCGTGGATATTATACATCTTTCACTTTTTTTATTTTTACTCTAAGAATGTTTTTATTATTATGTGAATTGGTTTTCAAGTGGGTAATTTTCCAACTTGTCAATCCTGCGGCCTGTTTGGCCAAAGCTTCTCGAGCCAAAAGCACTTATTTTTCAAAAAATAAATATATATATATATATATATATATATATATAGTTAAAGTGTTTGACCAAGTTTTTAAAGTGAAAAAAAGTATTTTTGGGAAGAATTAGAAGCAGTTTTGGAAAGTGGCATCTCTCCAAAAGTACTTTTGAAAAAAATACACTTAGAAGCAGTTTTTAAAAGTTTGGTCAAATATCAATTGCTACTCATAAGTGCTTTTCAAATAAATTAGCCAAACACAAAAAAATTCTTAGCAAAAGTATTTTTGAAAAAAACACTTTTGAGAAAAAAAAACACTTCTCAAAATAAGCTTATTTTTGCAGCTTGGCCAAGCATGCTACTAATATTCTTTCTCTTCGTCGATCATCATGGAGGAATTCATTTCTTTTCAATCCAACAGCATGAAAATGCAACATGAAGAACTTTCCAATCATATGTCTTATTATATAGTTCAATTTTCTGTTGCTACATCTTTTGTTAGTGTCACTTTAATATGTTGGCCTAAAATTTTGATAAGCATTGAATTAGAGCTTTTAGGATGATATGGCCATTTATAAATTGAATTTAAGTAAATGTCCCTACCTCTTTTAATATTATTTTTTTCAATTATTTTTCTTATATATTTTCTTATGTGGCAATATAGAAGCCTACATTTGCAAACTCCAAATGTCAAAGGACGTATTTGTAAACCAAAATCAAATACTTTTCCTTTACAGTAGGAAAATTTCTCTAGAAAGACAAAACCCTTCCCTTGAAAACCCTTCCGTCGATTTCGACTGAAAGAGTGTTGGCTTCTAAATTCTCCATTTTTTTATGTTTTCTAGTCCTTTATGTTCTGCTATGTTCTAAGATCCCCATTGTTTCTTGTCCAAACTGGGGGAAAATGAGGTAACTCAATTTTTTGTTCCACTTGAATTTGTCAAAGCTACGGAAAATGAAACACAAATTCTTGTTTTTCTTGTTTTCATCCAGGCCTTTCCTAAATCCATGTGAATTTTTCTTCGTAGTTTTTCATTTCACGAGGCCCGTGAAATTATTTGACTTCCACAATTCAATAAGACTGGGGATAACAATTAATGTCGAATTTGCTGCTCGAAACACAAATATAGCTTGAGGACTTTGTATTGATTGTGATTGTTGTTTTTCTTCTCCATTTGTATTTTACGTTTGAAGTTAATAATATTTCTCAAATGTTTAAAAGCCTTAAATTGCTAATGATCATTGTATCATATATATATATATATATATATATATATATATATAATCTCTTATGTATATTCTAATATCTCTTGTATTTAAAGTTAATGATCTCTTGTGTTTTGTTATAAGATCTCTTATATAACTAGTTTAAAGTTTATATATGATCTCTTATGTTTATTCTAATATCTCTTGTGTTTAAAGTTAATGATCTCTTATGTTTTGTTGTAAGATCTCTTATATAACTAGTTTAGATCTCTTATGTTTTGTTGTAAGATCTCTTATATAACTAGTTTAGATCTCTTATGTTTTGTTGTAAGATCTGTTATATAACTAGTTTAAAGTTTTTGCTAATGTACTAGTTAAAAGCTTTGTAAAATCTCTTATATAACTAGTTTAATGTATATATATGATCTCTTATATTTATTCTAATATCTGATGTGTTTAAGTTATGTTATAAGTTTTATTGTTAATTAATCGTTATTATTTTCTTATAACATCTTATAATTTAGGGATCTTTACACAAATAGCTGGTCATATTCATTGTTTACTTTTTTGGCCATATGCATAGATTATACATTCATTCTACACAATTATACACATATAATACATAAATTATATATACATTATACCTCCACCGACTATTTTTAGTTTAAGCGGTTAGGTGGACGGCTATTTGGGTTAATTATTCTATAATTGAATAGCAATATACATATGTTTCCCTTGATAGGTATGGGATTATGAAGCAATAAATATGTTTGAGGAGCGGTTAGGCAAGGCTGAGGAGTATTTAAAGATACATTCAGAAAAGGTGAAAAATCCTTGGATAATATTCATGGAAGTAAAACTTATGGTGCAGATGTTTTGAACCAATCCAATTGCTGTCAAATGTTTAAATGTTTAGAATCTAATTATCTCTCATGTTATACATATATTTTCTCCTATGCTTTATTCTAAAATCTTTTTTGTTACGTTCATTAGTATCTTGCAATTTATAATCTCATGTGTAAGAGATCTAGCATTTAGTCGTAAGAGATCTCTTATACTTTATATATCAATCTCTTATGTGAACATAAATATCTCCTACATTGCAATAGAAGAATCTCCTATATTTTATATTAATATCTCCTACAGTTTACCACACAAATTTCATGCTTCAAATCGCCATGGTCGCAAGAGATCTATGTCAAGGTCGTAAAAGATCATTAGTTGTTCATAAGAGATTAAGACCATAATATACACATTAACTTTCTTTCATTATAACTTGGAGTTAGTATGAATAATTACTTGACAAGCATGATTGCACTTACTACCAACTAAATTTGAAAGTTTCAAAAAGATAAATTGTGTTGTAGTTAAAAAATAATAAATATAATAAAGGGTGACCACTAAATATAACTTGAGAGATCTACTCATGGTCGCAAGAGATCTGTATCATGGTCGTAAGAGATTAAGATCATAATATACGCATTATCTTTCCTTCGTTGTAACTTGGGGTTATTATGAATAATTACTTAACAAGCATGATCGCACTTACTACCAACTGAATTTGGAAGTGTCAAGACGATAAAATTGCGTTTTAATTAAAAAATAATAAACATAATAAATGGCGACAAATAAAAATATAACTCGAGAGATCTACTCATGGTCGCAAAAGATCTATATCATGGTCGTAAGAGATCATTAGTTGTTCATAATCGATTAAGACCATAATATACGCTAGGGGTGTCAATGGTTCAGTTCGGCCGGTTATTTTATAAAATTTGTACCATATCAATTTTTCGGTTATTCTATTATGTATAACCAAAATTAGACTTTTCGAAACCATTCTAATCATGTCGGTTTCTCTTCGGTATCGGTATCGGTACGGTTCGGTTAATTTTCAGTATTTTTTAAAATATCATGTAAAATTTACAAGTAGAAGTAGAATGTAATAACATGTGTTCTTTTCGAATATCCATTGATACCCCTAATATACGCATTATCTTTCTTTCGTTATAACTTGGAGTTATTATGAATAGTTACTTAACAAGCATGACCGCACTTACTATCAACTAAATTTAGACGTTTCATTAAAATAAGTTACGTTTTATTAAAAAATAATAAATATAATAAAGAGTGACCACTAAATATAACTTGAGAGATCTACTCATTGTCGCAAGAGATAAGTATCACGGTCGTAAGAGATCATTATTTGTTCATAAGAGATTAAGACCATAATATACGCATTATCTTTCTTTCGTTGTAACTTGGAGTTATTATGAATAATTACTTAACAAGCATGATCGCACTTGTTATCAACTAAATTTAGACGTTTCATTAAGATAAATTATGTTTTAATTAAAAAATAATAATAAACATAATAAATGGTAACCACTAAATATAACTTGTTTTACTGCACTTTTCTTTTCAATTTCATATGCATCCTCAAATAAACAAACTTTCAATGTTGGCCTAGCACCCCGTTCATCAACAATTATTAAATAGGACTTTAAATCAAAATCATCATCTATTTGAGCATACAAAGTCTCTTGCCAAGTTTTATCCAAAACCATTGGCTTGTAACTTATAATAATATTTTTCGGGTTACATGTTATCTTGCGTCGCTGACATATTACTTCTACCAAGTCATTATAACGTACTCTTTGGCGATAATGAATCACCCTAATAATTTTCTTCTCCTTAGACTCAAACTCAATGCAAATAGTCAAATCACCCATTGATATCTA